TCAAATTGTTTGCAGCGCGATATTGTGCCGGCTGGAATGAGACGAGCCGACATCTCTCTGGCGGGTCGCCCATTTCGCCGGCTGGTAAACAGTCTTCTGAAAATCGCCGGGCTCGGAACTGCAGAAAACAGCCACTCGGTCTTTACACTTGACGGCCAATTCCGATGATCCCCTTGACTCGTGCAGCTATGCTCACTGAGAGGTGTTATGCCAGGGTGACTTGCACCGCATAATACAGCCGAACCGTGGTATACTGCTTGTTTTTCTCTGTTGAGCTGCGCTTTCGGTCTATTTATTTGGACCATTTCTCGGTCTTGGAAAGAGAGGATAAGACTGAAGACATCGGACTAATTAGACAACTGGCTGGGGCACCAAAGCGACTCAGCCCTTTCCGTTAGGCCTGCCGTGCCCTGTGGGACAGGTCGTCCGGGTGGGACAGGTCGCGCGGGTGGGACAGGTCGACTGGGTGGGACAGGTCGCGCGGGTGGGACAGGTCGACTGGGTGGGACAGGTCGTCCGGGTGGGACAGGTCGACCGGGTGGGACAGGTCGACCGGCATCGCACGGTCTCCCTGGGTGAGTAGGTACTACTTAGGTGCTTCAGCTTCCAATATTAACTGCCGCTCCGGTTACCCTGGTGGGATGACCACATTGCAGCTTGGAACAGGGAAGTATGCCAAGTGAAGAGGATTCTAGATAAATCAGTCCTGTGGACGAATGGAACGGGTGACGAATCTCGATATCAAAGAGCCATGGGTGAGGTGTCTTATTAAGTGATTTGTTAGATCAGTCCTAGAACCGTGAGCAGAAAGAATGGTTGCTTAGTCATCTTCAATGCGACAATACCCAACGGTAATTCTTTGTTTTCTAGGGCCACTAGCCAACATAGATCTCCTATTTCCTAACAGGCTTATCATTCTGGATCTTTCTAACTTGTTTATCAGATGTTTTATAACACCCTCCTTTTATTGCAAATAGTTTGAATAGTCCTGCAGTCCTATTGCCTTAGTTGTCCTGTCTTTTATCTGTGCTTGCATGAGTTTCCGAGAGTTGCGCTCACGAGGAGCACAGACGGTCTGATTGTTGGTCTGCCACCGTTCTGGGAAACGCCCGTGGCACATGTTTTTGTTTGATTAGCGCACTCCCTGACCATGACGTAGATAGGGAGGGGTATCTGTGTGCGTGCGGGGAGGGGTAAGGGAGAGGTGTCGGTGTGTGTGGGGGGAGGGAGAGGGGAGGGGATGTCATTAGTAGGAGACAGCTGACTGACATTTAGCGGGGTATAAGGGGTAGGGTACACTGACTAGGCAAGGAGAGACTCCGTTCCACGGCAGAGAGTGAGATTCCACACCCACCTGCCGGTAGAGCCACTCGTGACTGCTGTCCCGCGGGGAGTGTATAAGTGTGGGGATGTGCAGAGAGAAGCGCAGCACGCTCGCCTGCTGAGGACTGTCGGTCGCTGCACCCTGGTTGGTATGGCAGCAGCGCTCCTGAGCAGATATCGACTGCATTCTGACGAGAATAACGCAACGAATGCAGATGGTGTATAAAAAGTGGTGGCGCCGGGGCAAAAGAGTCGGTCTAGGGAAGCTGGAAGAGGCAGAGAGCGAGATGGTGATGCTGCGGCGCCCGTGGCAAGGATAACAGAATCAGTGTTTTATTGTGCCATCCATCAAATTCAGCCCATTGCTTATTTTTCGTGTGTCACTCAATGGTCGGTTCAGTGATTTTCTGATTAGTAAGATAGTTCTTTCCATTAAAAAAAATCAGATTTATGGCCGAGTGAACTGTGAAACACATGATTGAAGTTAGCCAATGCTTCATTTATTCTCCGAAAAACACGCATGTCAGTGTCATATTTCACGCCTTAAACTAAAAGAGCGATCCTCAACCCTCGCTAATTTTACGCAACCAAGACATGTTTGAAAGCCAAAAATATTGTATTTACATAAATGCCAGTATGTATGTATTATGTTGCGTGTACCCAGTACCCCAAATGATAGGTGCCCATTCCTGTTTCCAATATGGGCATCTAAAACAGCAAAGCTTATCACTAAGTGCAGTCTCACAAAAAGACGATGTCAGCTAATCGACCAAAGTTGCCTCGGTTTTCCTCTTGCTTACCTACTGTGAAGTAGACATGAGGTCAATCTTTCCAACAATATGTGAACTGTGAACACTAGGTAACAGTTTTTCTAATAATAGTATCTCTCTCTCTCTCTCTCTCTCTCTCTCTCTCTCTCTCTCTCTCTCTCTCTCTCTCTCTCTCTCTCTCTCTCTCTCTCTCTCTCTCTCTCTCTCTCTCTCTCTCTCTCTCTCTCTCTCTCTCTCTCTCTCTCTCTCTCTCTCTCTCTCTCTCTCTCTCTCTCTCTCTCTCTCTCTCTCTCTCTCCAGACCATAAGGCACCATCCTTCATCAACATCCTTGTTTCGGAATGATTGTCACTCCACCCAGGCCCCGAGGAAGCCGTTTGTCATTTCGTGACGCACCGTCCGACGGTTGAATCAGCCCGATACCTCCCATTATCCACTTTCACACTGACCTTCACAAACCAAGCAAGCAAAGCTGACCAGCCCTCCTCACGTTGCAGTGAAGACCAGCGGAAGAACCTGCTGGAGATGGGCTACTCCCACTCCCACCAGCCCATTGTGGAGCCCATTTTCGCCGACGTCGACTGCTCAGAGGCTGCCGAAATGCCGTTGATAACGTGATCTCGCTGCGCGCGTCATCTATGACAGAACTACCAGTTACGTGCTCTGTCGCCAGAGTGCAGCAGCGTCGCCGTGTTTGCCAGCGCCGGTTCGAGTGTGTCCGCTGTTCATGTTTATGCCGTTTTCGCTCCAGTGGGCTGGCTTATCGACCCCAGCGGCTCATCAAACCTGCCGTTCGCGTGCTAGCCTGGGGCGTTCGATGTCCAGAAATGCTGTATTAGTTGACAAGTGCCTCAGAATGCTACGGCGCCGGCGGAAAGCGATAAGGCGGCGACGAATGCCTCAGTGGTAGCTGCTAAACGAGCTGCTTAGAGCGGCGGCGGGTGCCGGATGAAAGGGCATTGACAGACCAAATGCCTTTCTGGTGCGCCCGGCCGTGGCTGATGGAGCGTTCGCTGCTCGGACGAGAAATGTGATCGGAGCGGCCACCGGTGAAGCGAGTGAGATCCGAAGGCGCCTGCTATCCGTTCAGTGTTAAACACAGGAGGGACAATGTTAGATGGGTGCGGTGCACTTTTTGAGACGTTCCTATGTATGTTCAGGTTCAAAGATGTAGTTTATAGTTTATTTTAAGGGACAATATTAGTTCTTTTCACGACAAAACGTTGGACACTATTTCAATGAATTTGAAAGCTAAGAAACAGAATAATCATTAATCAGCATTTTATTTGAAAGGTGAAAACACTTCTAGTTGACAGCGACTAAAACTTTTCAAGATACAAAACCGATCAAGCTGTTCAGATAGGTAACTAGGTGCCCAATGTGCCGTCGTGAAGAGAGCAAAAATGTACTGACATCCCTAACTATTATGTCCAAATGACAAAGGGCTGAGGGAGAAAATCATTTTAGTTAGAGACCGTAGTAATAAGTTCACGACCTAGTGCTTGTCTTTTAGCTTTTTAGGGACTGTGCTGATGTATCATGTATAAATATGTTGGTTGAAAATGCTCTCCTGACAATGCAGCGTGACATGTCTTGAGTGGCAAAGAACCGTGACCTCATTGTAACCAATAAAAACTTCGTGTTCTAATTTATGTGACATGATGTGTATGAAGTATAGGGTGTAATGGGGGTTGGTTTTAACCCGTGCTCGGCGCCAACCACGCTGAGCACCGGGCAAGGGGTGGGGTGTGTTTGAACAACTCCTGCCTTACACCTAGTTCCTGGCCCACTTAGCAATGCGCGGTAAGCCGCATTCGAAGGAGCGTCAAAAATAATGACGAAAGTATTCCATTAGTCTGAATTGTTGTTATCACTGATTTGAGAGACATGCTTAACCCGCGACCTGGTGGGGTCTGTTTATAATGCGACCTGGTGAGGGGGGGGGGGGGCTATTTTTGCCCCTCCTCGTATCTCCGAAACTAATGGACGGATCCACAAAATTCAAACGGCATTCAAAAATCCTGTCAAATTTGTTGAGGGTCATCCAGTTTCATTGACCTCAGGGTCACCGATGACGTCACAGGTCAGGTCAAAGATAAAATGATTTGCCGTTTACGGGTCTTCTAGGGAATGCGCTATAACATCGAGGAAAACACATTTTATCGAAAACCAGCGATAGGGTGTCAGTTGCCTAGTACATATGTTGCTATAAGAGGTCACTGATAAGTGATAATACCAGGTCAGGTCACAGGTCAGGTCACCAAGGGTTGATCTGTGATAAACAAACAAGACGCTTTGGAATCGTCTCATTTAGGCCTTTCGTTTGGTGCCGCTTTTGTTTTTGTAGCTTCTACATTTTCTGTATATTTAGGTAGCAAGTTATACAGGGGAGGGGCGAAAAACTCTTTCCTCGGGCTGTGGTGGGCGGAATTACCCTGGACCTGTCCAAGCTAAGTCGCTAATTACGAGGATATAAAAAATATATAATCGGTAAAGTTGGGTACTGAAAACAAGAGATCAATTTAAAAAAGAAAAGAACGCGACCTTACACACTTTGCTTTACATCGCTGCAGGCCTGATAACTTCCTACTTGAAATCAACTGCGTACCTCATCGTGTTTAATGTTTTAACGCTTCCGCCCAGCATCGAGGTTAGCGTGCCGTTTCGTTATCGCACCGTCTGCCTTTGCAATAACATGTTGGAGTTACTAAAAAATACATTTGAACTAGTTGTATCAGATGCGTAACACGTGCATCCCTTATAAACCAGCTGCCTTTGATTACGTAAGTGCCAGCCGCAAGAGGATGAGAATCAATGAAGGCGGCAATTTTTTCCAGCGCGACAGTTCGAGCCGCCGTGTCGTCAGCTGCGGACGCTCTTTACACTCGCTCCGCCTAAACAAGCCAGCATGTCTCCCGTTCGGCTGTGTCTGTCCCTGCTGCTGATGGTGCCACAGCTGATGACGAGCTCAGAGGCTCGGCTGGTACCGGTACTGCCTAGGGGTGACCACGGCCGCGGCACGTTGGCCACCCCGGCCACCGGTAGCTGTGCCCAGTGCGGCGTGCTTTGCTTGCTCCAGCCAGGCTGCCGTGCTGTAGCGTGCTCCGAAAACACCGAGACAGGCACTTGTCAGTTGCTTGGGGACAAGATCAGGATTTGCGACCCAGGCTGGACAGAATTCGAATCGGGCAGGACATGCTTCATTTTTCAAGCGGATAAGCTTGATTGGAACGCAACGAGAGCTGCGTGCCGTAATCTACGCTCTGGCGCCGAGCTCGCCTCAATCCACTCGGAGGAGGAAAATAACCTTGTCAAGTCGCTAATTCCGAAAGCTGGAGCCTTCATCGGTCTGGAGCACACAGGTCCGTCTGCGACCCGGGACTTCCGCTGGCTGGACGGTACCCCGTTCGACTTCACCCACTGGCGCGATGGTCAGCCCAACGACAATGCAGAAAACGACCTCTGCGTGGTGGCTGAGCGAGAGACCGCACTCTGGTTGGACTATACCGTTCAAGTTGGAATGCTCAACTATGGAGGACTTTGCAAGTACACACCCTAAGTGTAAAGCATTGCCTACGTCTTTAACAGATTGACGATTCCAATAACTTCTTCGGGGATTAAATTTGATTTAAGCCGATAGCCACGGGCTCCGCCACAGGGGGTACGCGGGGGTCCGGGCCCCCTCAATAATTTACCTGGGGGGTACAGTACCCCCCAATATTCCGAATATTTAAAAACTTGTTTTCTCGTAAGAATGACTAAATCATTCACAGAATGTGTTGAATAAATTAGAATGTGTTGACAGTCACAAGGCTAAGGAAATTAAGATCTAGAAATAATGTTGTGACACACACACACGAATTGCTGCTCAACACTCGCTGACCTATATGTACGGGAGTGTCATTATTCTGCCATTTTCTAATTACTATGAATGTGTCTAACATTGCTTGAATTACCTAAGCATGGTAGGATTGGGCTATAATTTCGTGAGAGGGGTCCAGTTTGCAGGACACCTCCTATACACATGAATACCCGCCCCAAAAGAGCTTCAAGTCGATCTGAGAATCCTCTTACCATGTGAGGTCACCCGATAGTGCTGGGGGGGGGGGGGGGGGGTCCAAGCCGGTCTTTCGAGCACCATACTAGTCTAAGCAGTCTCACACCGTTCTGAGGTAATCTGCAATAATCTGCACAGGGCTCTGAATTCAGGTTGGTAGAGATAGGACATCTACAGGTCACAACTCTTACAGGATCCCCATAACCTGACCTTTGATTCAAGTGCAGCATTTTGATATCCATTTTCAAGTCAAGCTAGGTCACACTCTAATCACAGAGACTGAATGGCAGTCTCTAAGGACCCCGTACTGCTATATGAGGGCAGGCAGGGTTTTCAAATCCCTACAACTACACTGTTAAAAAAGATTAGCAGTTTAGTGCTAAATCGTGCGCTATTCATTTGCTAATCAGGTTGTATTTTGCACCTTCATACTTTTTACGAACTTTTTCCTAGTTTTCTATGGCATTCCTTTCATTTTAGCAAGCTCAATTGGTAGCTTCCTACTTGTTCTGCTGGGCCTGCTATTTAAGCTGCTAAAAGACATGTTTTGCAAAGGTGCTAAATCATTGGCGGGAAAGGTTAGCATCATAGGACTGCTACCAAACGGCGAGTACATAAAATTCTGCTAAACTACTGCTAACTTTTTGTGTTTGTAAATTTGTATCAGTTTTAGCCTGCTAGACCGATTGCGCACTTCCGCGCGGCGGCGCCATTTTATTATTGAAGTGTTGGACAGTGCTGCAGTGCATCCAGGTGCGTCGCGACATTCCGACCGGACTGTGCAGTGCATGTGTGTCGAGTGGACGTGGTGTGGGATCATCGTGAGGTGAGTGTGTTCCTTATGTTGAAATTTGTTAGTGTCGTCTGAAGAAATTGAATAGCATTTTCCTGGGCTGGCGTGTGGTTACCGAGTATGGGTAACGGCCGGCGTGGCCGCGTGTGCTCGCTGGTGAGAATACGTCATGCCTTCGGGCTGTGCAGTGGGCACGGCAGCTGCCGACCGGCGCGGATACGTTCATGCGTGTTGACTGTTGCTGCTCTGGTCTTACGCGCGATTATCGAGTGTGCAGCCAGCGTGTGCTCGCTGGTTGGGACCAGCTGCCGCCATACTCTGCACGGCAGCCGTCCGACCGGCACCGATTTTCTGTGGTTTGTGGCACACCGCTGCTATGTTACACTCATGGGGTGTGGTTTTGAAGTCCTTATTAAATAAAAGGTGTTAATAAAAGTGCGTGCTTTGAGTTGCGTGCGTTAATTAAGTTGCGTGCGTGCCTAATAGGGGTAGGTATGTAGGCGTTCGGCATTGTCAGCGGCCATTTATTTCGCATTGCGTTAATTTTACGTATGGATATAACTTGTAATTGAGTTTATGAGGTGCAAAATTTAGCAGTTTAAAATTGTTAATATGGTGCTAAGTGGTGACTTCTTTCGTTTTTAGCAGTCATTTAGCACAAAATAACGAACTTAAAACGGCTGAAATTTGGCGCCGAGGGTAGGGTTAGTAAATGCAACACGTTAATTAGCACCACGAATAGCAGGTAATTTAGCAGCTCAAGGCTACTAAAATTTTAGCAGGAACCGATTAACAGGGCTGATAGCAGCCGAAAATAGCAGTTATAAAGTGCTGAAATTTGGCGCGAGAATAGCAGGTGAAACTGCTAACCTTTTTTTACAGTACGCGCTTTCCTTTAACTACTCCCTTGGAGGACCCGACACCGGTCTAACAGCCTACATATACATATATATATATATATATATATATATATATATATATATATATATATATATATATATATATATATATATATATATATATATATATATATATATTTATATATATATATATATATATATATATATATATATATATATATATATATATATATATATATATATATATATATATATATATATATATATATATATATATATCTCTCTCTCTCTCTCTGAGCGCCTATGAATTGGTCCCTGAATTCCCAAGCCCGTGCCAGTCACTGAGAGCCTAATGCGCTGTCTGATGGCTAACAACGCCCTTGGAGCGCGCAACAGCAGCCTCCATTCCTCAAGAAAGTTGATTTGAGAGGCCACCATGTCGGTGTCAATGGGCTCCGCTTCTCGGTTTTCGATTCCTTGTGCAAACTGGACCTTGGTTTTTCGGTTTGAAGCAAAATTTTCCCGATAACATTGTTAAGTTTTCTTTAAACTCTAGAAAAAAACGGAAATTTACTATCGATTTCTGGAGCTGCGGGACGGGGGGGGGGGTGAATTCGCCCAAAATGCCCACCCTGGAATCACGAGCGAGGTTTTGTGTTTTTGGTCGGACCCCCCAAATCCCAAAACCGTGGCGGAGCCCCTGCCGATAGCAGATATTGATGTAAGCAAAATGCACTTTGTACCAGTCTTTGTATGAGTGAATACAGGGCTTTCGCAGTTACACGCTTTGGCGCAGCGCTTGTGGTATACGCCCAGGCATCGTGTAAAAATTAGTTGATCCATACATAGTTGATACGCCTTGGTTGATGCTAGGCATTTTCAGGGCGGCAAGTAAAATGATCTGGAATCTTTCCATCATCACTTTGGTTTTTCGTTCTATAAAATCATAGATACCTACAGCTCTTCAAAGTTCTGTTTTGTCAGAGGTGCCTCTTTTATAGGTATGGCTAGTGACCACCTTTTTTTGTTAATGGATTAAAACATTTGTTTAACATTGATTGTAAAAATTGCTTGTGCTTTCAAAATCTATTCGTGAGGTATGCTTTACATATATTTAGCAAACAATACATGTAATAAGCTACTCACACATTGATTTTTGCTTGAATTGCCGAACAAAACAGGTCACTCAGGCGGCTTCTGCCTCGGTTGCGGCCCCCGATGCTGTTGCCGGCGCCGCGGCAGGGAACTCCATGCTCCCTGTGAACGGCTGCAGCCCCGGCGCGGCGGCAGGCGGCAGCACAGTGGCGGCAAACGGCTGCAGCTCTGACCTCCAGAGCGTGCCGATCAGCACCGCCAACAGCACCATCAGCGCCACTGTGATGCTGAAGAACCAGCGCCACTCCTGCAGCGTCCCCTGGAGGCGACAGGACGGGCAGACAGCGTGTAGGAGACGGCTGATCGGAGCGAATTCAGTTGAGATACTATGGGTATGCTGCCACGAAAAACACGCTTTGCAAAAATAGAAAGACTTTATAACTCTGAGACTACCAACAGAATACCATCAAATACCTAGCATACGGCCCAACCGCGTTACCTAAGTGCTGCAATAAGAAAATATCAAATAAATATGCATCTCTGTTTCGATGCATTGGCCAAGGTCCTCACCTACCACAAACTACCATTCAGCAATGTTCAAATGATAAAATCAACCCGTGGCCCACCGGTCGCTGCTCACTCACATTGGGCGTCATCGCGGCGGCGACCAGGGGCACCAGGAAGCCCGGTGTGTTGCCGATCGAGGCGGCGATTCCGCAGATGCTGCCCGTGTACTGGGGGGCGAGGTCCCCGGCCGCAGTCACCGGACCTGCTCAACGGGGTCGCAAAACATTGACAGCCTTGTAAGAGCTGATTATGATTAGGCGGTACGGAATACACTTGGTATGTACCTTCTGTCTCACGCTGACGTGGGTCATCGTGTATTGGTTTTGTAATAGTTAAATGCGCCGTGTTCCGATGATCATTTTAAGCAAAGCATTGAAGTCATCTAAGCATTCATTCAGTCATACATACAATCAAAAGATGTCATTCATTCATTCATTCATTCATTCATTCAATCATTCATTCATTCAGGAACGGTTTAGGCCACTTCTTGGTGGAGGTCAGGTCAAGGTCAGGTCAAATTAGGTCAAATTTCAAAGTTGATATTTTTGCATAAAATGTGTATCGATTCGATGCAGCTCGTCACGGGGAGTTCAATGGTAGTCTTTGTTTTGCGCTACGTGCTCTAGAATTGCCAAAATTAAGTTAAAAAATTTGACGTCATCAATTTTGAACATTTTTCCGCTATAATTTGGCCCAAAAAAACAGGTTTTGATTTAAAAATTGGTATGTAGATAGAAGAGCGCAGGGACTATCACATATATTCCGGTTTTGTCGAAATTAAAAAAAACTTTGGGATTTTTTTTTGCGTTTTTCTAATAAAAATGAACTTTTTTAATTTTGGAGGGTCAAAACCTTTTTTTTTTTTTTTGGAAAATCCGAGATACCAGTTTTATAGCGCCTTTTTCTTCTACATGACCATATAAAGAACTCTGAAATTGCTTAGTAACTGTAGCTCTTGTGAGCGTTTCAAGATTTCATGTCTTTTGCTCATTTTTGCTCGAACATGACCTCAGTTTGACCTCCATAACTCCTGACCTAAGGTGACCTAAGACTTGAAATGTTGTGTGGAGGTGTCCACAGTCACACTGTCCAATTGATGCTCGGTAAGGTACTGAAAATTTGGCGGCGCTGCGCGCCGCCGTTTTCTTGCTATTCAGGAAAAACCACAGAGGGGGAGGGGGGTAAATTGGACCCCCCAGCGGTTCGAGGGTTAAGAAGAAATTACCCAGATGAGTGGTCCGACCTCATCCGACCCGGCCTGACCCAGCCCGTAACACTTTCCGCAGTCTTATGTAACCGCTCGGCCGGTTGATCTATTTGATGCAGCAGCATTCTGCCGTAAACAATAGCCACATCCTTTTAGTATGTTTGATGTGATTTATTTTTCTTAACCTTCGCCCTGGTGGGGGGGGGGGGCCATTTTGGCCCCCCCCTGTGGTTTTTCAGCGATAACTCAGAAACCACTTGAGTTAGCGCCCTGAAACTTTGTATAGCTGTTTATTCAACATTTTTACATCATGTCCTGTTTTGGGGGGTTCGGGTCAGGTCAGGTCAGGTCACAAGGTCACCAAAACTGACACCACCTCTAAAAAAGTTCAAAGCTCTCTCAAAGGCACAGCTTTTATCCGATCGATGTAAAATTTACAGTACTTGAAGATGTCACCCAGCTCTACAAAATGGCTATCTCGGATTTTTTATAAATGTGACCTAAGGTCAGGTCAGGTCATCGCTGCTCCCCATTATAAGTCAATGGGAGAATCGAAAAGTAGTTGTTTTTCAGCTAAATCGGGCGTGATTGATCCTATATTTCGTTATTGAAGTGTCTTGGGTCAGCAAATCACAGCCCATGTGAAACCATTTGCTTGTGACCTCGCTGAGGTCACGCTAGGTCATCTCCCTGGTCACCAGAGGTCACCAGCGGTTTTTCTGCACTTACTTGTTATTGAATAGAGATAGAGACTCCGTTCGACGTTTATCGTGTTTGTCTCGTCAATGCGGATCGAATGATATGCAGCATGACCTATTTCGGTAAGGTCATGACCTTGACCTGAGGTCAAATTTTCAAAATGACCTTTCGAGGTCAAGCTATATATCATTCGACGCGTCTCGACGAGCCAAGCACGATGGTGCATGAATCGTTTCTCTATTTTCTCGTGAATGCATGCTATAGTTAAAAACATTTTCAACAAAATTTGCCAAGTTGACCTTGCATGACCTCTGTAGGCCAAACCGTTGAGCTGAGGTCAAATCTGACGAACCTTGGCGAAAGAGCTTGAAAAGAGCTATCGATTGCTTTTTTCCGCGGCTCTCTAGCTCTTCTAGTTTCCGAGCTACAGCGGAATATGTCCGGCAACACCGAAAACACTGAAATTTGACCTATGATGACCTCTAGCGACCTCAATATTGACCTTAGCGAAAAAATGACCGAAATACTTTCGAACGTACTTGTTATGGGCTTTCGTTTGCTTTTTTCCGCGTCTTCCTAGCCCTCTTCGTTTTCGAGTTAGACGGGGGGGGGTCATTTTGGCCCCCCCCCCCCCACCAGGGCGAAGGTGGCTCAGACCCACACCAGGGCGCGGGTTAATGAAGCTTTTTATGTGATAACTTCCACCGCACGTGACGCGTGTCAAATCGGAGGCATTAAACTTGTTCCACTTACAATAACACTGCAATTATTGGGCCAATTACGCTGAAGCCTGTGTCGCATAGATAGAACGACATCGGGCGATGCATTTTCATGTGCATTTTCATACTCGGTAGAAATGCTTCTGCACATTAGCACATGCTGGGGTCACTTCTTCGCTGTGAGAGTGGCTGGGCCGATTGTGCTCCAATTGGCAACACTCACCGTCACGCTTGACATTTCCAGCAAAAAAAGATTAAACAATGATAGCTAAAATCTAGGAGCTACACTTTTAGCCACTATTTGTCTTAGGATTTCTAAGTTATTCTAGAGTTGCGCAAAATGCTATTTAATTGTTTGATACGCTCGGGTTTGGTGGGTTTTATCAGGTCAAGAAGAATCTACGAGTTGAAAGGGGTTCAGAAATATGGCCTAAGACGATTTCGACTTTGTTGAGAGGATATCGGAAAAAATAAATCACCGTGCTTGTCAGTGTCGCATAAGCAAGAAAGGTTTTGGTTCGTGTTAAATACAACATGGCCATGAGGCTCGAACTCACGACATGACACTCAGCGCACGCAGACCACCCGCCCAGAACGCATACGAGCACGTATTGCCCTCCGCGCGTATTTCGTTTTTGCAACCAAAGGAAGGCGCTACCCGGATAATGCTCGCGTGGTGCAGGGTGTTCCTTACCAGCACTGGTTACCAGACAAGAAGCCCCCACTGCCACGGAGGAAAGCAGCACACCAAGAATTCGCTGACTGGCCGGCAGAAGAATCAACACTGCCATACAACACGAGGGCAGCAGAAGGCCTGAAATTGGTCATGTTATTGTCAGTATATAATGCAAAACATTCCGGGGATCAAAAGAACAAGTTAAATGCCGAGTTTAGTTGATACTGATAAATCAGTGCACTTCTTTTTTATTGTTCGTAATTGAACTTACTTATGCCCAGCTCCACACAAACTAGCGCAGTTTGGTTTAAAGTTTAACATTTTATTTGATATTGACCGTGGGAGCCGAAAACAACACGTACATTTGGTAACAGAAAAACACTAGGGTGACCCACGTGCTCCGCAACGCGAAAAGGGATATTTTCGATCGGCGGGTGTTCGGTTGTTCTTGTGTCGGTTGGGTTATCTATCCATTTCGGTCGATTGCTTTTTGACGGCTAAACGTTTTGGTTTGTGGAAAAAATATCCACCGCATCAAGGTGCCTGTGTCTGATAAGCATGCTTTCCACTTCAGAATCTGTTAAATGTGCTTTATAATTTAGGCGCGTAGTTTTATGACAAATGAAAGGCGTAGATAATTTTCGCTAAAAATCGTTTTGCAGAGGTTTAAAACATTTATATTTTTAAGAATACTGTTGCTTGTCATGCAAACGTGATGATTGGATCTTGGAGAGAATTGAATGCTCTTTCCAATGATAGCATTTTCAATTGTCAAACGTATCAGGTTAAGCAGCAAAATCCGTGTAATTATTTAGTGGCACATTTTGGACAAATACCATTTAATTCAGCGATTTTTTCCTCATTGTTTTTGATCAATTAGCTTTTCACAATTTTTCCATGAGAGACGGTACATTTTTATTGCTAATAGGCGCTGTTTCAACTCATTCCGTCTGACGATCACCTGAAATTAATATAAATTCCAAAATCCGTCCAAAACGTCCATTTTTCAAAAGAAAGTGTCCTCCCGGTGCACGTGACACGTGCCAACCCCTGCACCGCACACCATTCGATAGCCCGTTCGATTCTCTACACGATGCTATTTTCCCCATACCGGTCGGGCCCACGGTTACCGAGATATTGCACCGGGACCGGACCCGTGTCGGGCAAATTTGGCTGTTTTCGCCCGTTTTTGCCAGCCGATTAATACATGTAAAGTCTATGACGCGAATTTGCACTTTTTGGGCACGCGCCACGCGCTCGCTATCGATCCGATCGAGCTGAGACCCATCAAAGGCACGTTGTCCATCCTTGTTCTATGAGTTGCGCAAACTTCAGCGCGGTAGGTGCAACGGTGTGACCTGTAACCCGCGCTACGTAACACCATGTCGCGACCTTCGTAACGTAACCACAAATAGTAATATAGATAGACAAGCGGCTGCGCCACTTGCTTCGCGGCGTAGCGATAAAATACGGCAGCAGCCAATTTGCTTTCGAATGGTGTTTGATTTAAATTGATCAGTCGTCTGGAAGCAGAGATATGGACGGAAACGTGCAGAGGAAAATTTTGAACATAATAACTTAGTTGGATGAAATTTGGATCATATGGGGTCAAGTCAGGTCAAGTTGGCCATCCCTGGTCACACTGGGTCAGGCCAGGTCACCTTCGGTCAGGCCAGGTCGTATAGGTCACCATCGTCACATTGGATCGGCCTGTACCACACTTCTACTACTTCTACTCATACCACTACTCCTACCACTATCCCTACCACTACCCCTACCACTACCCCTACCACTACCCCTACCACTACCCCTACCCCTACCACTACCCCTACCACTACCCCTACCCCTACCCCTACCCCTACTACTACCCCAACCACTACTACTACCCCTACCACTACCCCTACCCCTACTACTACCCCTACTACTACCCCTACCACTACCCCTACCACTACCCCTACTACTACCCCTAACACTACCCCTACCACTACCCCTAATACTACCACTGCCCCTACCGCTACTCCTACCAATACTACTACCACAACACTACCACCACTATCGCTGGGTCATGTGAGGTCACAGACTATCATATAAACTGATGAACTAAAAAAAAGAGTTCCTAACCCTGCTCCTACTCGTGTCATTTCATTATTCTTATTCGTATTTGGTTGAAATGGCGCCTTGTGACAAATGTGGCGCATTGCGACAAAAGTGGTGCATTTATTCCTTTCGTTTTGCCATGCATCCTTCCACCGAATTGCACCTTTATCGGACCATATTTGACAAAGTTGTGCGATTTGCGGTAAAAATAGCGCATGTGGACAAATGTGGCGCACTGCGGCAAACGCGGTGCAGTCGGTTAAGCGCATTGAAAACTGTCTTTATTTACCGAAAATCAACACCTTCATTCGCCTCTGTTTATCAAAATAAATAACTTGGCCAATCTGTAAATGAGAGGCACCCACCGCCGATCGTCATGCATTTTATTGTCAAAGGCGATTGAACCCGGCTGCCGATGCCTTGAGATCCGAGCAAAATTTGGAGAAAAAACACCTTTTTCCAGCGCGCGCCACGCGCAAACCGTGCACCCCACCGACTGCAGACCCAGCAAAGGCACACGCCCGAAGCGTCGTCTACGCGGTGCGCAAGTTTCAGCCACCTCCTCGCAACCGTTTGACCTCCACGCACCGATAACTGACCCCATGTCACCGAAAATTTCACCAAAACTGCGAACTGCAATATATTGGGGAGACCAAGTGCGGACAGACAGAAAGACAGACAAACAGACGGACTGATCTCAAATAGTAATATAGATGCTTACATAGCTTTCTGTATAAATAATGAGAGAAAAATTTAATATCAACGTACAATTTTGAGAAAGGGCATTATGTAAAGAAAACCTTTCTCCCGAAAAAAATAGGGTTGCAGGCCTAGCTCAGAGTTCATTCCTGACTTAAAAATAATATTCCTTTTCGTAGCCTATTCAGTTTCCTGCGTTGCGATGTTCTTACCAATCATTGACATGATTTTTCTTCCGTTGGTTTTGGAGATGCCTCTGTTGACGTGTAGATAGGCAAACATTTTACCGCCGAGGACGACAAACAAACACATACACAGGCTAGGCAGCGCAGACAGAAAACCGTTCTGAAAAACAACAGCATGTGAGGATGACAGGAGCAGAATAGCAGGAAGTATCAATGAATTGAATCAGACCTTCATGAATCGATTGGGAGGAAATGAATGATGAAAATGGTACGCAGTGTCTGATCAAATGAAACCACACCTTTTCATAGAACAAAGTAGCCTCGTCATTAATATATGCGTATATTGCGTATGTGCTAAGTTCCGAAACTAGTTTTCTTTTCTTTTTTACGCATAGCTTCACAACTGAAATAACAACGCAACGCTCTTACTTCTTCAATGTCAAAATCGAACCCTTCTTTCATGAATGTTGGTAGTGTGATGTTCATTGCTGCGAAGAACCAAGCAACCACAAAGTAACTGAGGGATATGATCCACACTTGGAGATTTCTCATCAGGACACACAGCGATACTGGCAGCACCTGGAATAAAGCAGATACGTATTTAGCGTGTTGTTTTGTGGTTTTGAAAAAGGAAAGCAAAGGCACCGACCATTTATCGACCACCAATTCAACGATCGGAGCGCCTATTTACAATGGCGGCATGCCTACATAACATAACTTGCCCGTTCGGCAAATCCGTGTGGTAGTATGTGAACAAATAACGACAAGGTAGGGAATGTATCATACAATGGCGACGTTCATTTCGCTAAATGTAAGCACGCAGATCGTGACCATGAATAGTTGCAACGTTTTCAAAAAAATGGCAATGCCTTAAAATATCACCGAGCAATGATGATGCATTTTCTAAACCTGTTATCACCAACATCAATCACACTGAAGCCGTGCAATGGCAGTTGCATATTCTCACTGGAAAGGTAAAAGAGCGGTGCTGCCAAGTATATAGTTGCCCGATGATAATGAGTTGTAATATTCTACGGCGTAATAACCTTCATGCCTATGCTCTGGATCACTTGCTAGCTCTTTAATGATACTATTGAGGGCCATAAATTTAAAATATCGGAATAGTTGATATGGAGCTAGTGGGGCGGCACTCCTCCTTTCATTACGCGAACAGTCAACAGGGTCTTATAGTACCATTACACAGCGCGGTTTAGTGTATTATAACTATGATAACGCGGTACCTATTATAGTATATGGTACACCAGCACCAAGGGATATGCACACATGGGTTCCAACCCAATGTCCCTTAAAATTCCATTAGCTAACGAAGAAAAGAGAAAGTAATAAAGGTAGGATACGGGTAGTTTCAACGGCCTCCATTAGCGAGAAGTCACACATGCAAGTGACAATTACGCCATGCCGTAAAACTCACCTGCTCTTTGTTGGACCTAGAATCACCGTTGTGCGATGCCAGGAAGCTTTTCTCGACGCCAGAAATAAAACGCATATGTTGTGGCGTTTCATTTAGCATGACGCATGCTAATATGGCCCAGAGCGCTAATCCGAGCCCTGAAGACGAGCAAGATATTGCTTGTGAGTCTCTGGCATACGCAAAAGCTAAATCAGACTAAAGCGGGAACAAGTTCTCATATTAAATGTGCATGTATTTACATTAAATTATGCTTAATATTAGCGCAACGTAAGCAAATAAGGTGAACAAGATTATTGTTAGCCTGATAATTGGAATGGTTTTACTTCAGTTCGATGAGTCACCTGATCCATAGTAGATGGCGGTCCAGCCTCCCAGCTGGTGCTGCTGGCACAGCGTGCTGCTGAGAGGGAACGCGGCCGCACTGCCCAGGTAGGTGCCGCTCCAGGCCAGGCCGAACAGCAGTGGAAACTCGCCAGCACCGCTCCAGTTACGGATGACGACGTTGAACGCAGGAAAAAACACGGACTGGACGAGACACAGACACGTCGTCAACAAAATGTGATCGGAAGGGGCATGGACAAAATGCTACATATTTCACGACGGGATTTTCGGTAACTTTCCGATACTTTAGGGGGGAATTAAGCCTAAATGCCCCCCCCCCCTCCCCATACGGGTGGCGTGGCAGGGTCCGCCTGGCCACTATCCCCACGGGGCACGGGTTAATGGCTTTGAAGCACAGATGGCGAAAAATTGAATCAGATTGATCGCCTAAAATGTCTTATTTACATATAGGCTTCAAACGCTTCCCAATTTTCCCAAGAGAGTTGATACCATGCCCTACTACCGACCTCCTTCTCGTCCCCCGCCCCCCCCCCCCGAACTGCATCATTCTCACTCGTGCGCTGATCTTGGTTGCTGAATGTTAACTTTAACCCTCGCATGTGTGCGGCGTTTGCCAGCTTGTAATGTGTAGGGGGGGGGGGGTCGGTTGGACCCCCCCCCCTTGCCGTTAGGCCCCTGATCGAGCTAGAGCTTCGCGGAAAAACGAGCGTGTTGCCCGTGACGAGAGGAAGCCGATGATACCCAATTTTAAGGTCCTAGGTCATTGGGTGACCTTCCAGGTCAGGTCAATGACCCAAAGTCGGGAAAATCGGGACCTGTTAGAAAGTCGTAAAGTGTGTCTGCTAAGGGGTTTTTCGGGGTGCTGATCACGAATATCGTGTTGGTTTTGATCACAGATGATGTCTTTAAGCATTTAGACCAGGTCGGGTCAGGTCAGGTCAGGTCAACCAGTAGGCATCGTGACGGGTATTCGTAGTACGTGTAAACCGCCTCTGACAGCTTCGTAACATGTTACGAAGGCACCAAAAATACTTCGTAAATGTTCAAATGGTTGCTAAATTCGAATTCAGCTCCAAAAACTAGCCTAGAAACATGTACAGCTCGAAAAAGTGAGCCGAGGTCACCCGAGGTCACCAAAGGTCAATGACCTGACCTGACCTTCAGGTGACCTTGACACCCACCCTAATGCATGGAAGCAACATCAAATCACATGTTTGAACGTTTGAAACCACGAAAAGCTTGCAAACGCGCGGCTAATGCGAGCCGACATACGCAGAATCGCGATTCCGGCCAAACATGGTCTCGGAAAATAGGTCACAGGTCAAAGGTCATTTGGGTCAGGGTCATGAAATTTTCAGGGTAGGTGTAAAATTGATCAATGTGAGGGTACTGAAAGTTTCGTCGCGATCAGCCGCTTTTTACGCGAGTAATTCGCGAAAAACCATGGGGGGGTCCTCCCCCTATACATGCGAGGGTTAAATCCCGATTTTATGCAATGATTTTATCTAAGTTTATTTCAATATTCCATGCGATGCGATTGGAGTGCTTTTTAGTTAATGCATCATTATTTTTGTGTTCACATTCATATTGTGAATAATGTATCACAACGACCCAAACGTGCAACTAATCTGTTTGAAAGCATATCCCCAGCCAGCAATTTTGCTCCGGGCCCAAGCAGGCTCAAGTGCGGATTGCCCGAGATTTTTAGTCGGGCTAAAGTCGGCTAGGGCTTGGGCTAAAGTCGGCGTATGACACAAATACGCCGACTAAAGCCCATGCTCTGCCGGAGGTATGCCCGCTCTGCGAGCTCCGGACAGCCGTAGTTTAGCCCTAGTTGAGCGACGATTGGCGTTAGCCCGATTTAAGCCCGAGCAGTGAATCCATTTATATAATGGAGATTACTCTGGGCCCGAGCGGGCTGAACTCCGGCAAGCCCACTCTGTGTGCCCTGTCTATCCCGACTTAAGCCATAGAAGTGCATGGGGTTTATACATTGCAAACTGCTGTGGCTTTGCTCGGGTTCGGCTCGAGTGATGGCTCCTGTTTTCTCAAGTCTCGACTTGACTTCATCTTGCTTTTGCTTCACACTGGATCAAGTAGCAAGGAGCAGCCAATGCACTTTCAGCAGGTTGTGCGGTTTCAATGCATATTTAAAATTGTTACGGTCACTCATATGCTCTGTTAACCGGTCATCGAGGCTCGAGCATTTCAAAAGAAAAGTAGTGGTTGACTTTGATTGAATGTATATTTCAAACGACTACAGACACGTCAAATGAAACACAAATACATGAAACAGTGGACTGCAAACTGCAGCAGTAATATGGCATGAGTCATGAAAAAACGCCATCAAAACTATAAAACAATCACAAGGCCCGCTAGCCTCCCTCCCCGTTCATAATACTTGGTTAAACACTCAACTGAAAGCATTAAGTAAGGACAGCAAGTAATCGCTCATAAGACATAAAGCAATAAGCAAACAATCGTTTATAAGGAACTTCACTCTGGTGAATGGGAGCTTTGGAGGCGTCTGGCTCCTCCACACACACACACACATCTGCAGTAGGTGGTCGGCCAGCTTTCGGCGCAGTTTCCGTATATGTAGGTATACCTACTTAATTATAAGCAGGCAGTTTCCGCTAAACCACTTGGCGAGGGCGACTGCGGCGTCCACCCGGTCCTGGTTTGTATAACTATTCCATTTTTTGGAACCATTTGCTCTAATGGTACATACCTGAAAAAGAGATTAATTGGTTTAATTTACATTGCATGTTTGCTTGAAAAATAACTTATTGATGCATTAATACTGTAAAAACACTTCTCATTGATCCGTATAAAATGTTCATTTGATTTTAAATGCGGACAGAGAATGAGCGTGCTCGGTGATAAGTAGATAAATATTTGTCTTTTGTATTTCATTTTCCTGGTTCAGAAGTGCTGGTATTTCACAAAGATATAAAGGCACGGAATGCAGCTTTTCTGAGCGAGGGTATAAGTCGCCAGGCTGAACAGCTATTCAGCTTCATGTTTGATGGCGTCAAACTCAGTCAAAATCATGACGTTTACATACGATCAAGCGCGCCATTCAATACACTTACCTACCGTAAAACTCTATGCCAGTCCACTTGATAAGAGCAGTGAGCACTATCCCTTCTTCGCGCTGTCACACGCGCCCAAACATCAACCACCAAATGCCCCAACACCGGTGTGTCGTTTCGTCGCACAGCGCACAGACTGTCACAAACGCTGCACATGATTGGCGCAGAACTGCGCATGCGCGAACAGTCGAACAAGTATGGCTAAACTCCGGCTTTACTCCAGTTAGCCGAAGGACACAGCCAGCTTGATCAGCCCGGCTCCGCCCAAGTTAAGCCTGTTTTGGATGCGTGGGCAGATGTCGGGCTGAGCTACTGCTATCCGCACGTGGGCATAGCTGTGGCATGCCCAAGCTCAGCCCTAGTAAAAAATACATTGGTTTTGATCAAAGTGGGCAAACCCAAGCTAAGCCCAAGCTGCCCGACGTTTGCCACAGTTCAGCCCAAGTGCATTGCTGGCTGGGCGTGACCTGACCTCTGTGACCTGACCTGGTATCAGTGACCTCAGATAGCGAAGTATGTGTTTGACGAACAATATGCCATCGATGTTTTTCAATAACTTACCAATTTACTCGATTTCACAACACATTTCTTGAAATGCCTGTGAACGGTGAAAATCTGACCTTTGACCTGACATGTGACGTCATCGGTTTGACCTAGGTCAATGAAATTTGGTCACAAAGTAGTTCCCCGGTGGGGCTATCGAACACCGTTTGAATTTTTAAAATCGGCCGGTAAATTTCCGAGATCTCAGGGGGGCCGAAACGCCCCCCCCCCCCCCTACGGGTGGTAGGGTCCGCCGGTAGCCCTACGGGGCGCGGGTTATCATCTACCGATGACGATGCCGTTTTCTGGTGTCAAGCCAGCTAGAACCTCTTTGTCACACTATCCGACCAGGTTTTTGCTGGTGAGGTCATTTCAGGTCAAGTTAGGTCAAGGTCAATATGTGTTTGTATGTCTGTGTGTGTCTGTGTGTATACTGATGTGTGCATGGATTGTTTGTGTCCATATTTTACATATTGAAGACCTGAAGACCTGAAGAACAAGGTCATATCTCCGAAACAAAAAGCCACAGAAACTTGAACTTTTTCAGTGGACATCAAGGAAGGATAGAGGAGCAGCTATACGAAAAATCAGGCTTCTAGCTAAAAAATGTTGAGCGCAGAGCAGAAAACTACCTGGGGGGGGGGGGGGCGGTTGGCAGCCCCCCCCCCAAATGTGCGGGCGAGGGTTAACCCGCGCCCTGGTGGGGGGGCTATTTTTTGCCCCCCCCCCTCCAGACTTTTCAATATATCTCCAGAACCGCTGCGCCGATCGTCACCAAACTTTCAGTATCCTCCCGGACATCAATTTTACACATTGTGACCAAAAATTTTTCCAAAGGCTATGATAGGTTGGCCGGAAATGACGTCAGAGTGACGTCATGTTCTGCCGTTTTCGACCCAAAAAAGGGTTTCGCGGGAAGAGCTGTCAGGCCTATAGCTTTGCAAATACAGAAAAACGATAAAGACATAAAAGCTGTAGAATTGACAGGGCTACAAAACTGCTATCTCGGATTTTTGAAATTTTTGGATTTTGACCCCCCAAAATCAAAAAATAGATTTTTTTGAATATAATAGCCGAAAAATCCAAAAAGTTTTTTGAATTTCGCAAAAACCGGAATATATGTGATAGTCCTTACCGGTTTCGATCCACATACTAAATTTGAGATTGATACCTCTTTTTTTGGCGAAGTTATAGCGAAAAAATGGTTCAAAATTGATGACGTCAAATTTTCAAACTCAATTTTTAGCAATTCTAGAACTCGTAGCGCAAAACAAAGACCACCATTAGACTCCCCGTGACGAGCTGCATCGAATCAATACCCATTTTATGCAAAACAATCAACTTTAAAATTTGACCTTTTTTGACCTGACCTTGACCTGACCTTCACCAGAAAGTGACCTAAGCCGTACCTGATAGTCTTATAACCAACACCATTGAGTTGGAAATGAAAAATTGGCCATAAAACATGCATCGCACAACCTTAGTACCTAAAGTTAGGTTCATGTGAACCTGTGACCCTTGGTGACCTGACCTGTGACCTGACCTGGTAATGTCAGTGACCTCTTATAACAAC